TCACTAATATGGGTGCTTCTCTTTGGAACGTGCCGCTGAAAACCAGCCTGTGCACACAGTAGATGTTCATAACCGGTAGTTACTACAGAGCAAGAGATCCTGTGGGCAACAACGAGCTGACTCTGGGGGGGAGGGGAGGCTACAGGAAGCCCAGAGCACTGCACCGCACTTTGCTCTGTTAGTTTCAGTTCAGAGCCATACCATTTGAGCACCTACTATCTGGGCCCCTTTTACTATTCAAGAGGTTCTATTGAATGAAGCCTGGGGCAGGTGGCAGCCACACATGCCTTTAATCCCAGGCAGAGGATTGAGGCCAGCCTGGTCTACAAGAGCTAGTTCCAGGACAGCCAGGGCTACACAAAGAAACCCTGTCTCAGAAAACAAAACAAGACAAATCCTATTGAAGATGGGAGAAGCCCAGAGGTGAAGATATGAGATGGCAGGTCAGATTCCTTCCCTGTCTCTTTTCCTAATGGGAAGGCTGCTGACCAGTGATTGGAGAAGTGGCTAAAGGCCCTTGAGAGGGTCCAGCCTTGAAGTACACTGATGAGACACCAGAGTAGTGTAGACCTGGCCTCCTAACATGAGACTTAGAATGCCTTGTTTCTGGTCCTGGCCCCTTTGCTTTCCCACCATCTAGGTCCTACCCACAACATTCTTGTGGTTCAGTTTTCCTCGTCTTGGCTATGGGCACACTCTGCTTGGTGAGCGAGTGATTCCCAACCCAGCAGCTTGGCTTCAGATCTCATCATCTTGCCTCTAGGGAGGCCTCTGAACTTCATGGTGCTTCTGCCTTCCCATCCAGGGCTTGTCAATCTATCAGGCTGCATGGCTGGCCTGGAAGTTTCAAAGGATGGGCCTGGCTTATACCCTATGCCTCCTAGGCTTGTCCAGGCTTAGTCCTGACTCTAGCCTGGGGAAGGGACAGTTCCCTGGGCCCCAAAGCAGGATTTTTTGTTTCGTTTTGTTTTTGTTTTTAATGATCAGAGTATATTATCAAGCTACCCAAGCCCTTGCCCAGTCTCCAGTCCCCAGCTGTAGCTTTCCCTGCAGTCAGATCCAGGAGCCCTCTGGGTCTGACCAGATACATTGCTGTGCTTCTTGGGTGACCTTGTAAGGAAGGTCCTCCTTTGTCACACTTGCTAAATCACAGAAAGTTGAAAGCCCCAAAGGTTGAATCATAGGCTATTCCTTCAAAGAATGTTGTAATCAGAAAGTTTTGATTAGTGCATGCTGGGATCATGGCTGGGTTGGGTTCTCTTTTGTGGGGATGGATATTATGGTTTTGTACCGGGGATTAAACCCAAGGCTTTGTGCTGCTTGGCAAATGCTCCATCACTGAGTCCCAGCCTCAATCTCTTTATTTTTATTTCTTAAAGATCTGTTTATTTATTATGTACAGTGTTCTGCCTGCATGTATGTCTGCAGGCCAGAATAGAGCACCAGATCTTACTGTGGATGGCTGTGAGCCACCAAGTGGGTGCTGGGAATTGAACTCAGGACCTTTGGAAGAGTAGGCGATGCTTTTAACCCCTGAGCCATCTCTCCACCTCCTCTTCTTTTTAAAATTTTAAAAAAGTTTTGCAATATAGAATTTGTCTGTGTAGCTCTGGCTGTCCTGGAACTCACTCTGTAGACCAGACTGGCCTCAAACTCACAGAGATCCACCTGCCTCTGCCTCCCCGAGTTCAAGTGCTGGGATTAAAGGTGTATAACACCACCATCCAGCTGCAAACTAAAAATTTTTAAATTTCATTTCATTTTGTGTGTACAGGCGTTTTGCCTGCAGGTAAGTTTGTGTATCCTGAGTGTGCAGTGCCTATGGAGGGCAAAAAAAGGGTATGAATGTCCTGGGACTAGAATTATAGATCACTGTGAGCCACCATGTGATACTGGGACTTGAACCTGGTTCTCTGGAAGAACAACCTTTACCTCTGAGAGCCAGCTCTCCAGGCCCCTTAATCACATTTTTTATTTAGTGTGTGCATGTGTGCACGTCTGTAAACATTATCCTCAAGAGGAAGTCAGAGGTCGGCTTATGAAAGTCAGTTCTCACCTTCCATTCACCATGTTGGTCCTCATGCTTGATGGCAGGTACTTTTACCCACCGAGCCTCTTTGCCTGCCAGCCCTTCTTTTTATTTTGGGAAAAGGTCTCGCTAAGTTGCCCAGTTTGTCTTGAACTTGCAACACTCTTGCCTTTCCAGCAGCAGATATTATAGGTATATGCTGCCAGGAGCCATTCAAAAGGGTGACAGACTTTAGAACTGTACAGAAGTACCTCAGAGGCCACCAACTAACCCCTTCCTTGACCCTTCCCCAAACTGTGGGCCTGCTTACTCAGGTGGAGTGCCACCCACCCTGGTCTTGTCCAGCTCACAGCAGAGCCTTCTAAGGCTCAGTAGTATGGTGTCATGACTGGCTTGGATGTTATCAGGTCCATGATTATCTGCATCCCCAAGAACAGCCATGGGACTTGGAAGGAATGCCTCTCATCAGCACACTAACTGAATGACCTTGGGTAAGATAGCTCCCCTCTCAGCCACAAACAACACAAGCTTAATAGGATTACAGGAATTAAGCATATACCATTCTCAGGAAAAGTGCCTGGGACTGTCTGCTGTTTAGTCATTATCCAACCACCGAAAGTCAGGATGACAAGAGCCTTGACCTCAGTTGCATTTGAAATATGTCCAGTAGCCTTGGGACAGTAGAAATGACTGGCATGTCCCTTAGCTCATCCTCCCCTAAGACTGGTATCTTTGTCTCCATTTGACAGATGTGCACACCAGTTGACTGTGTGGTAGGGGCCAGGCCAGAAGACAGACCTAAGGCCTAGAAGCCATTGCTGCTGTCTTCCTGCTTCTTACATGGCATTGCCTGGAAACTCCCTCAAGGCTAGTCTTTGCTTCTGCCTTCACTGTGACCACTGAGGGGCTGACAATCCTCCACACAGATTTGCCTGCCATCCCTTGACATTCTGGCTGGCATTTGTTAGTGAGACTTGAGAGGATGTGGTCAGGGCAGCCAGTAGGCGGGCTGGGGTGGAGGCTGTTGGTTTCATCCTACCAACTGAGACACTTTGCCACATGGCTTGGTTGCAGCAATACTAGAAAGCTTCCAAGTAGAGCTTCTTCCCACAGCAGCCAGCACCAGTGTGCTTCCTGGAGCTATGGCAACTCCTTTGCCCATCCCCACTTCCACATGTCGAAAGGCCTTTCCAGGAATCCTGGGGTGGGGCTGAGGCAGGACTCTACCTGATACTGATAGTCCTGGAGCAATGTGATCTTGACCCCAGCTGAGAGCAAAGTAGGCTAGGTGACAAAGCTGGAGAGCAGGCCCAGGTGGCTGCAATAATCCACCATCTAGACTGCTGATACAGTCTCAGGCTCACAGGGCAATTCTGAGGACTCAGAGGCAGGGGGAGGCTATAAGCAGCAGGCTCAGCAGCAGCCAGGATGGGTGGCTCCTCTCGGCTGCCCTGGGGGTAGAGGCCACAGAGTGTGTCCCAGGGCAGCAAAGGCTTCTCCATCACTCTTGGCTTCTGCTAGAAGAAGAGCAGCCTGCACTGTGGTTACTAAAGGCTTAATTGCTGGCTCTGGCCAGAGTCCAGAAGTGGAACTGTGGCTTTGAGGTCCAGGAAGCCCTGCTGGTCTGGTATGGTGATGGGGTTCATCTTTTAAGAGACAGAGGAGATACTTCCCAGGGTACCCATGCTAGGACAGGTGCACACTTCTGGGATGCCTCTTGTCCCCCACTCCCTGAAAAGTGTTACCCTTGGTTCCAGTCTCCCAAATTCCTACCAGGTTTTGAGACAGGCCATACCTGGCATGGGATTGCTCAAAAGATGTGAATATAGACAGACTAAGTCAAGGCCAGAGATGGAGTGGCATCAGGAGACTGAAGGGTACCCCAATGACAGCCTGGGCTCTTGGGCCTACAGATCCCTCAAAGAGCCTTTACTGGCTTTCTGGGTCCCTACCCTGTGACCTTTTTAAACAAGGAACCCAGAAAGGGAGAGCAAGCCAGTGAGTGACTTTGGAGCCAGCACTCCCAGTTTGTGGAACTCTCCCAATTTATGGTCCTATGACCTCATGGCAACTCTCACCCATCCAATGACAATCTAATAAGATTATACTGGAGACAAGACTCTGAGGCCCCAGGTGGGAACTAGAGGTCCTTTTCAGAAAGGACAGGTACAAGGACAGGCCAGCAGCTGTGTCAGATGTAAGCCATACAATGGAGTCTGGGTGGGAGAAGGCTCAGAGTGACTGTCGCCTCCTGCCGTTTTGCTGTACGCCTTCACTCTGCATGTCCAGTGTGGGCCTGCCAGGGGTTCCTTACCTGTGGGACTCAAGAACAGTGTCATATGAAGGAGGTCTCATAGGACCTAAAGAAAGGGTTTTAGTGGCCAACTTCAGATTAGAAACTGCCAGCTGAGACAAAGTGAAAGTGTTTTCTCAGATGTGGGACTTCCTGGAGCCCGTGACATTGCAGCTGCTCACAGGAGAGTGAGCCAGCTGTGCAGGGCTGTCTTCTACCAGTTCCTCACTGCACCCCACTGGCAGATTTTCCCAGCTGTGTGGCTTCTGCACCCTGCTTGGGTACAGCCCTTTACCATATCAGGAGAGGAGTGGCCTGACCCATCTGCTGCTGGGATTCTGCTTCCTGGAACAGCACCTGGGCCAGGAGAAGCCCAGTAAGAATCTGCAGGGAGCGGCAGGAGGAAGTGAGCAGCCAGGGCTCCCCTTCAACTTCTGCAGCAGCAGAACCTCCTAGTGGCCTCCTCATCTCCAGCTAGGACGGCTCTGGGTCACCACAGACCAATACTTCTTGAATGACTCAGTAGCAGCCACAGGCTCCTAGTAGAGACTGTCCCAGTGTAGGGCCCAGGGGCTAGGATGGGTGGGAGACAGGGACAGGTCTATAGGGCAGTCCCTAGGCCCTCAACTCCTCGATCTTCCCTTCCTCTCTCAACCTTACAAGGGTGACAAGAATGGCTACTCCAGGAAAAGTCATTTTATTTTCATAAATACTCCCGCTGTCACCCACACTGATCCTACTTTTGACCACAGATGGGTGGGCAGACGTGAGGTGTTCACAGGAGGCCCCAGCAGAAGCTGATAACCGAAGCATGGAACTCTGTGAGTTCCATGGCTCTCCAGGGGAGGGCGAGTTCTCTGGCTTTGCTTCCAAGTCCCCATGGCCCCTAGGAGGCCTAAGAGCAAAGGGAGACCTCTGGGGGGGGGGGGAACAGCTCTTTGACCACAGGGCCATTTCAAAAGAAAAGCAAAGAGCCAAACCACACACCAAGTGCAAACAGCTAGGGCATGAGCATCATCCCCGGCCACTGGGTTCCCACAGAGGAGGCCTGGGCTGGTTCCAGTTCCAGCATAGCCTCCAAGTTATGGCTGGGCCTTTCCGTAAGGCATAAAAGTCAGGTGGGGAAGACCCCACCTCAGGCTGGGGTCAGGGCTGGGCCTAGCAGCCATGCTTTTTCCCTCACTCCTGAGAGTCCTTCTAGGGCACAGAGCCCCTCCCTGTTCCCGGCTCCCACTGGTGGTGGGGGTCCCAGTAGCTATGGCAAACCCAGGCCCAGCCTCCTGCCGGGTTTGGCTCAGCAGGAGAAGAAACCTAGGGAGAAGGAAGAGATACTGGGGGCCACAGGAAGGAGAGAGCACCAGGCTGAACAGGAAGAGGTCCTGTTGCCCCTCCTCTCTCTAGCCTCTCTGTCCTAGAGGCTCCCCCAGGTTTCTGGTGGGGGGAACTGATCCACATCCCCCATCTCATTGTAGGTCTGGTCACCCATGGTGAAGATGAGCTTGTAGCGAAGGCGCACCTTCTCCTGGAGCACAAATGGCAGAAACACAGGGGTCAGAGCAGGAAAAACAGGTAGCACCACCCCTAACCAGAGGCACTGCCCTGGCACAGCTGGGCACTCACCTTCTGGGGGTTAGCAAGGAGCAGGACCTGTGTGATGGCTGAGGGGTGGACGATGGGGTTAAATGCTGGCAGCTCTGTGCCAGAAGGTGGCTGCAGCCTCACCTTCATGACCTGAGGTGGGGAGGTGTATAGCTGGATAGGAGGCCATTGGTGAGGAACCAGTTCCCCTCCCAGGGTCTCAGGGATCTCTCCTCTGGCTTCCCACCACCCCTTCCCCGCTCCCCAGTGAGGGAGATCCTGTCCCCCGACCATGCCCAGCCAGCTGGCTACCCACCAAGTCTCAGGTCACCCTGCCTTGAGGGAGGGAAGGCCTGTCTGGTCTACCCTGTCACCTTAGGAACAGCTGACTGGAAAACAATGTTGCGGATGGGCTGAGGAGCAGTACTCAGCATGGAGACCACCACCACCAGCACATCAGAGCGCCCCGGCAGTGGGTCTCGAGCAAAATGGAAGAGAACACGGAAGCCATGCTGGTCATAAACGGTCACTGGCAAGATGCTGCCTGTTGGGAGAAGGGTGGGAGGGTGATGAATGGGTAGAGCCGGAAAATACCTATGTGCCTCTCACCCAGGGTCTGGCCTTCTCTGGCAAACTGGGACCCTGCAGCCAAGTCACAGCCCGGTCAAGGGCTCTGGTCAAAAGTCTGGGCTGTGCACTCCTTGAGCTCAGGGTAGGCTCTACTGGTAAGGAGGACAGGGAAGGTGTGGTGCCCTTGGTCACAGCTTCTGAGGAGGTCAAAGAAGTCTGGCTAGTTGTTAACTCAGGCTGAGAATCAGCCAGTGCTACCATTTAACTGCTCCTGGTGAGGGATGCCTGGGGTTTAGGCCTGGATCTTTCTTTGATGCTGGGTTTCATAATCTTATGGAACCTTCTAGTTCTGGCCCCTGCCTTCTCTAGGAAGGAGCGGTCAGAGTTCAATTCTAAGAAGTCCCCTCCTGTGTGACCCAGAGATTAGAAAGCCTTGCATCACTCTAGGATGGGGAGGCCCTTGTGCAGGCTTGCACTGGAGTCAGCAGTGGCAGGCCCTGGGGACAAGAGCTGACCTGGCCTAGCCCTCCCACCACACCTATCCCCACTCACTGGGTTTGATGGACTCCAGGGGCACAGTGATGTTGGCTAAAGAGAGGTCCGTGGGTGCTGGCTGTGGTGTAGGCCCAGGGAGCTCCGGGGATATGTTGTGGAGGAGGCTGGTGGTTCCAGGACTGGGCGAGCTGCAACTGCTCTTACTCTGCAGGTCACGGAGGGTGAGCCGGGGGGCTGGCTGCTGCTTCTCCCTTAATGGAAACAATGTATTAGCAAGTGATTTTTCTGGTGGTCTTTCTAGAGGCACTGGAAGGACTGGGCTACCCAGCTCTGTGCCTGTGCATCAGTGCCTCTAGCCTTGGAAATCCTTACCTTCAGTAAGAACACCTCCCACTCCTCTGCCTTAGCATCCTCCTATACTGACCCCCCTTTATCTTTCTCTAGGGGGCATGTTGGCGCGCACAGTTCACCTCATCACAGTGGGTGATCCAACATGCCAGGCTCCCAGGAACTAGTGGTAGATGATTCCCTCTGGGCCCAGAAGCTGCTGGCTTGTGGACAGGGAGGGCCCTGGCAATAGCAGCCCTCACCACCGCACTTGCTGGGCCTCCGGGGGCAGAGCCTGTTGCAGAAGAGTTTTTCCCAAGAGGTCCAGGTCATCCAGGCCACTGCTCGTTGGTAGGGGTGCCTGTGCTGGGGGTCGGCAGTCCATGTTGGGGGTCTGGGCTGGAGGAGGGACTGAGGGTTCAGTGCCGTCTGACGACTGTGGGCAAAGGGGATGGGGTGAGACTCTGAAGTGTCAGGGTCACCACCTGTGCCGAGGCCCCCCTTCCCTGCAGATGGCAACTGAGAAAGCTGCAGCACCTGTCCATGAGGCAGAACACTGGCCTGGCTGGAGCTCCACATTGCTACACTATGAGGACCCCCAAGTCACATTTAAAGGAAGAAGAGCCCTCAGCTTAACCTTGAAGGCAAGACTGTGGTCCTACTGGGGACCCTAGGCTGAGGTCCAGGCACTTCTGCTGGAGGTTAGAAGAGACTGTTGGGCTCTTCCCTAGGGTGGAACTGTCCAGCCCCAGGGAACCTTGCCCAGTACGCACCTGGCTATTTGTCACCCCTTCGGGATACCTACCTACCCTGAGCCTGTCAGAGGCTGAGGCAGCTTCAGCCCTCTTACCTGGAAGCTATTCCACCCCATACTATCTGAGCTGGGGCCTGAAGGTGGTGTGGGGTCACTTAGGCCTGTAGAGAAAGCAAGACAGGGGGTTGGACTAACAACATGCTAGCTTGAGGATCCCTGGATCCCTCCCTTTCTTAGAGGCTCAGGAGTGAAACCCACACTCTCAGAGGGAACCAGAGGCAGAGCAAAAATAGAAACCATTGTCCCAACAGCAAACTTGCAGCCCATACTTGCTTCCTCTCTTCCCAGCAAGGTCCCACAGAAGCCAACTCAAGTGCAGAAGTTGCAACTTTCACCTCTGTCCCTTAGCTGCTATGGAGTGGGAGCCAAAATAGTGAGGAGGGGACAAGAGACTGAGATTGATCACAGGTCTTGGTGAGCATCTGTGGGCAAGTACTATCCTGAGTGAGCCTGTGTGCATGTGGACCACAGCAAAGTGAACCAGGGAGACTCTGACGCTCTGGCATAGGTCAATAAAGCCAAATAATTGGTGCTGGAGGGCCCTGGGACTGGTGCCTGGAAACTTGCCTATCCTGAACACCTTGGCCACACTTGCCCTGTGTCTGACAGAAAAAATGACAGACACTGTTTTTAGCAAGTGCTCTCCAGCAACTATCAGGTCTCCTTCCCCTGTGGCACTCTTTATGACCAGAGAAGGCTGTGTGGTGGTGCACATCTTTTTTTTTTTTTTTTTTTTAAGTAGTGCACATCCACATCTTAATCCTAGTACCCAGGAGACAGAAACAGTTGGGTGCTAGACTGGTCTACAGATCAAGTACAGGACAGGCAGGGTTACACAGAAACTGTCTCAAAACAAAAACAAAAACAAACAAAACAAAAACAAACAAAAAACCCAACCAACCAAACAAAAAGCCTAAAGAAAACAATGTTTGCTACCTCCATGTTCAGCATTCCTCACTAGCAGTAGATTTTACTAAACCCTGTCCTTCCTGTCTGGAGAATCTGCTGACCCTTCCCAGGGCAGTCCCACTCCAGAAATCACCTGCCTCTGCTGGGCAGCCAGAGCTGGCCAGACTTGCAGGCTGTTTGCCAGGCTGACCTTGTTCTTAGTCTCCGTGAGCCTTGGCTTCACCCAGTATAGATAAGGCCTGCAGCTTGTCCTGAGGCCTCCACTAGCCTCCCAGTGGAGACCAGGGTTGGTGCCTGCAGGCTGGCCCTGCACTGCCCTCTTCCTTACCCAGAGACATGAGTTCATCATCAAGCAGGGAGACTGAGGCACTGGGCTGCTCTGGACTGCTCTGGTTGCCAGGGTGGGTGGGCGTGGTTGGGTATGTGGTGCCGGAGGAGGGAGGGAGGTCCAGGCCTGAGAGGTCCAGCAGGGCTGAGGTACTCTCTGAGTGGAAAGGAGAGTTGGAAAATTACTGGGGGCCACTCAGCACAGCAGGGAGGGACAGCAATCTGCATTCTCCACTCTTCACAACAGGCCTCCTGGGTCCTGGTGGCCACTGCAACCCTGTTCAAATGGCCTGCCAAGCCCTTTCTTTAGCAGGTGGCACTTGTTCAGAATGCAATCCATTTTGCTTAAGGTCAGGGAAGTGTCAGAAATGTGGAATTAGTGTGAACGCACAGTGATACCAACCAAGACAGTTGAGAAGTCACTCTGGGACACAGCTGCTCTCGCACCCAAGGCTCCTCTGAGAGGTCCTCCCACCTTCCTGGGCCACTCATAACTCATCCAAGGGCCTCGCCTGTGTCCCCCACCCCCACACACCATGCTGCCATCTTCCCTGAGTGGTCGGCATGTCTGTGTCTAAAGCTCTTTCCCTTTTCTGGTAGTCCAATCAGGCCTAGGGTTTGATCCAGCTCCACACATGTAGAGTCAGTTCATGAGATGAAACTCCATCTTCCTTGTACTCCATGACAACTTAGACCCACTTCCCCAACAACTTTAGGCTTGCCACAGAATGCCGCAGCTCCCTTCTTGGGACCTCCATGGTCTTAAGGGGCCGGGGTCACATCGAAGGTCATGCCGCCCGGCACTCTGTACCCCTCCACCCCCCAGCACTCCTACTCTCTTCTCACCAGGAATAGAGCTGGACGCGGCATCACCATTGACCTCCTCACCCCGGACCAGCTGCTTGTACAGGTTGATCACCTGGGTGAGATTGTCGTTAGCCTGCAGGATTTCAGCTGAAACAGGAAGGAGACTAGAGGTCAGACTGAAGGAGTTGTGGGGCCTCTGGATAGGGGAGGAAAGCCTCCTACATCTACCCCAAAGGGTATGTAAAGGGGAAGGGCTATGCATCCCACTATCTACAGGGTCCAGACAACTGAGCTGGTGTAGAGACTTGGAGGTGGAAGTGTCCAGGGGACAGAAGGGAGGAGAGTGAAAAGGGAGGTGACAGGGCCTGAGTGGCTGAGATGGGATGATCTGCCACACTGGTGCTCTGAGACCAAAGCTAGTCATTTTGTTTGTTGAACCCCAGATGGGAAATGGGGGAGAGCTCCCCCTCCTGGGTAGGAGATGAGATGCCTACTCAGGACCTTGTTCCTGGAGTCCTCCTCAGGTCAGTGCTGGAGAAAGGAGGCCCCCTCGTGGTGGCTCCTTCCAACTGCGGGTGTCTAGCAGGGCCTGAAGTGGGAGGTAGAGGGACAGGGCCAGACCTCATCTCAGCAGCCTGGGACTCACCTAAGGCCTCATCATTATCTTCTGTGTCACTGGCCAATCGGAAGAGCGTGGGCCGCATGCGCTCACAGCGCTGGTACAGTTCCTGGGGGAACAGGGTGAGTGGATAAGGGTTCTCAGGGGACTTGGGAGCAGGCTGGGGGTCGGCTGGAGCAGGCCCACCTTCATGAGGTCCTCACTGCTGCTGGACGCAGCACCCTGGCTGTGGCTCATCACCATCTCTGTCAACAGTTTCACATTGTTGTTGACCTCCTCAATGGCATTCACCCGCTTTGAGATCTTCTCCATCCGCTTCTGGTCCTGTGAAGCAGCAAATGACCGGAGGCTGTCTCAGGCCTGCCACTTGCCCTGGAGATGGCACATGAGTCTGGAACAAGGGCTGGATGGGCATGATTTCAGCAAGACTGTGGCCAAGTCTTGCTGAGAGCTTGCCACTCAGGATGGGTACTCTGTCCAAGAAGCAGCCTACTATTACTGTGTCATTTCCTATACTCTGCCAGAGTCCCCAATCCAGGGGTAGCCCTAGATCACTTCAATGGTCTTATACCATTTTTGCCCTCCTTTTATGTCTGTCTCTTGAAGACAATGTTCCATGTTCAGGGTGGCCTCACACAGCTTGGCCCTGTAATACAACCCTGAAGATAAGCCATCCAGGCCTGAGAAACACCTTTTCCTGCAGCTGGGGTATACAGAATAGCCCCTGACAGTTAATCTGGGGCTTAGTCTTAGCCTGACCAACCTGCATGACCAGATCTTGCCTATGAGGAAGAATGAACTAACAGTTTCTGTGAGGTACACATTTCTAAAACATCTGGAAAATTTCTATGCTATTTTCTTTCTTTTCTGTTTTTGAAGACAGGGTTTCTCTATATAATAGCCCTGGTTATCCTGGAATTCACTATGTAAACCAGGTTGGCCTTGAACACCGAGATTTGCCTGCCTCTGCCTCCCAAGTGCTGGGATTAAAGGCATGCACCACTATTCCCAGTTTGAAGTGTACATTTTCCAAGAAAAAAAGAAATCACCCGATGATCTAGATACACAGGACTGCAGGTGGGTAGTCACCTTGGGTACAAGATGGGATATCTCCTGCCTCTGAGGTACCTGCCTTGTGGCCTTGACCTTTTATTTCCCAGCTGCCAATCCTTAGCCTAGAGAGCTATGCTACCTTTGGCCTCTTCTGTTTGAGCTATTAAGAAGGAAACCAAGATCTTTGGTTTGTGACAAAGTTTCATTCTGTAGCTGGCTGGCCTGGAATTCAGTCAAGGCCATGTTCTTGTCCTGGCCTCCCCAGTGTTGGAATAAGAGGTGTGAGTCATCTTGTCCATCCTGAATACTTTTTTTTAAAAAAGTTTCTGTTTGAGTCTTTCTCTACATAGCCCCGAGTGTCTTGGAACTATGTAGACCAGGCCAGCCTTGAACTCACAGAGATCCACCTGCCTCTGCCTCCCAAGTGCTAGGACTGAAAGTATGTACTAGCATACCCAGTCTTGAATACCTTTTTTGATGATTTGGCCTTATAGTTTCAGTGTACACTTCTAACATATGACTTATACATTAACCATATTAACATCTGTGGTTTGCCCTGTGTGTGCATACCTCTGTACATAACACATATGTACTTATGTATTTAAAAAATACTTGAAGGTTCAATTTGTTTGGGGAGGTGCTAAGGACAGACACCAGGACCTCATGCATGTTGGAAAGCATTCTACCATTAAGCTGTAGCCCCCAGTGTATCCCTTCCTCCCTCCCTCCCTTACTTTTCTTTTTCTGAGACAGGGTCTTGCTATATAGTCTAGACTAGCCTCTGAAGTTCCAAGATTACAGGTGAACACCATCAATTATTGGCCTTGTTACTAAAAACACTAGCCCCTCAGGAACTCACACATAGCAGGTTCACTCACTACTGGGCAGTTCTTCCTGATAAACCATCAGCCTCCTAGTGGCTGATGATTATTGCTATGGCAATTGTTCTGCTAGGCCACTAAGGGGCTTTATATGCACGTGTGTGCACGCACGCGCAGACACACACACACACACACCCTCTTGCTTGGTGGCCTAGCTCCATTCCCATCCCTTCTACCCCTGTGCCCTAGGCCAGCCATCACCTCCTGCACCATCTCCTTGATGAGCTTGTTGGCAGCACGGAGGTCTTCAGGGTGTGAGCTCTTCAGAAGTCGAGCCAGCATCTGCAGAGACAAGCAAGTGACTGAAGGCAGCACCAGGCCAAAATCTACAAATCTGGCTCCTCAGATACTAAAGATACTAAAGCTCTGGGCAAAATGGAGAAAACTGATTGACATCTGATAGGTGTCCATTTGGATAAAAGCAAGACACTACACACACTCCCCACAGGGCATAGCAGAAGGATGCTCTCAGCACACAGCCCTCCCTAGAGCACTGTGGCTTTCAGAACCTCCAGGTGGGCACACCAGAAACCATAGTGGTAGCCTTGGAGCTGGCTGGGGAGGGCTGCAGTCCTTACTTCAACAGCTTCTCTCTAAGCAGATGCTTTTTTAACTAAAAGCTAGTCAACTGGTATAGAAAGACATAAAGCTATGCAGCTCCTCAACAACCCTAGATCATGAGCTGTGCTTACTGAATGCAGATGCTTGCATGGATCAGTGTATTCAGCTGTCACTAAGAGCTGCTTCTGCCCACAGCCACCTCCACAGGGATCATATTCTGCACGAGCCTCTGTTCTAGAGGCCTTAATGCCCAAGCTGCCACTCTGCCTTACCTTGGACTTCTCCTCATCTTCAAAGATCACATTCTTTGGCCGTGGAGGGGGGAGGGGAAAGATGGCATCCTCTGGAAGCTTGGGGTCAGACTTCACAATCCCTGGGAAACACAGGGTAAAGAAGGCTGTTAGTAGATGTCAGGTCCAGGGTAGCAGGAGAGGGATATGAGAACAGGGAGGCAAGGTCGGAGGTATAACTAAGCTTTTCATCACAGTTCAGATGGAAAGGCATCCCTGCAGCCTGAAGCCAAGGAATACCACAAAGGCACACAACATAGCAAACCTCACTCAAGAGATCCATTGGGAGGGAAAAACCCAGGAGGGTGTCTGCCTCTGCTCGGGCAAGAAATAGCAGCAAACTGAACAGGATACAGGGCTTATATACAGTTCCTTGGGAAATGGGTGAAACTTTCCAGGGTAGAGACTGGAGGAAGGGATTTCTTGTCCAAAAAAAAAAAAAAAAAAAAAAAAATTTTTTTTTTTTTTTTGGTGTTTTGAGACACTTTTTTTGTAACTTTGAAGTCTGTCCTGGAACTTGCTCTGTAGACCAGGCTGGGCTTGGACTCACAGAGATCCACCTGCCTCTGCCTCCCTAGTGCTGGGATTGAAGGCATGTCCCACCACTGCCTGGCTAGAAATTGGGCTTTTTACTACTTAGGGTGGGGACAAGGTCCAGCAGTTAGTGTTCTGTGGGTGGAATGTGGCAGTTAGAGGCCCCTGGGGGGGGGGTCTGTGTGTGTGCTCGCAAATGCTTACAAAAGGGAGGTCAAACTTTTGTAAGTTCACCAGCTTTGGACTTTGATGAATGGGACTGCTTCCCCCCCCCCCATACACACACATGATTTCTCTGTGTAGCCTGGGAATTTGCTCTGTAGACTAGACTGGTCTTGAACTCACAGAGGTCTGCCTGCCTCTGCCTCTTGAGTGCTGGATTAAAGGTGTGTGCCACCATTGCTTGGCAGTGGAGCTATTTCTTACCTGCATAATGAACTGCATCAGAGATGGTTTAAGCCTAATATATATTAATATATACATTACACATATGTAACTTAAATAATAGTTCATTTTTATTTTATTTACTTTTATTTCATTTGCATTGGTATTTTGCCTACATACATGTCTGTGTGAGGGTGTCAGATCTTGGAGTTAGAGATAATTGTTAGCTGCCTTGTGTGTGCTGGGAATAAAACCCAGGTCCTCTGGAAGAGCAGCTAATGCTCTTAACCATTGAGCCACCTCTCCAGCCCCCTTTTTATTTTTTAAAGATTTATTTTTAATTATGTCTCGTATCTGTATCTCCATGTGGGTGGGTGTGTGCATGTGGAGGTCAAAAGCATCCAATCCCCTAGTGCTGGAGTCCCAAGTGCATGTGAGCCACTTTTGGAGTACAGGAAATGAACTCAGGTCTTTGGAAGAGCAAGTGCTCCTACCTGCTAAACTATCTCTCCTGCTCCATACATATTTTTTTGAGGAAGGCTATCTGTTCTGAACTCACTATGTAGCTGAGGGTGGGTCTTCAATTTTGAATCCTCCTGTCCCCATTTCCTAAGTGTTGGGATTATAGGTATGCCTTACCACACCTGGAGTGTTTGGTATTGGGGGATAGAACCCAGGCTTCATGCATGCTAGGCGAACATTCTACCAACTGAGCTACATCCTTAGTTTCTGGGCACCTGTGTTTTGAGGTCACTCTCTGCACATGACCCCACACCTCTCTTTTTTCATTCAAGCTGGCCTTAGGCATAGCTATAGAGAGGTACCACTGGCTATGTGTTCTTGAGACATGAAGGGCAGACCCATGGCCTTGCTGGAGCCAGAGCTGCAGGCAGGACACGTTACTGGTCTCTGGCACCCTGGGGGTGGAGGCTCACCCTGCTTCTTCAGCATCTGGTAGGCTTCTGCAATCTTCACCTCTTCAGGCAGGCCAACTGTCCAGCTGTACAGCAGCTCCAAGATTTTATTCTTCACCTTCTCTGATGTCCTGGAGCCCAAGTACTTCAGAGACATACAGATAGAAAGTTCTCTGAGACTGCTCAGCCCTACTCACCTAAGCCCTCAGCCTCCAAGCCTCCCTGATGCCTCTGAAGTCCTCAAATGCTCAGTAGCCTGGTGTAAACTGAGCTCGGTTGTTAGCTGGACCACCACTGGCTGTGTCAGCTATCTGTGACTCAGTTTCCTCATTGTGGGTATGTGAAACTTGGAGGCCTAGAGTAGGATCATTTGCTCAGAGTACATAGAACTGAACCTCAAGACCACAGCAAGGAGCCTGGGGCTCCAAGTAAGGAGGGAAGGGCTCATGTACAGCCATGAGCCATCATATATCATCTCCAGCAGCAAACTAGGCCACAAGACTTTCACTGAATAGCTTTCTCCTGGGATACATGGGGCTGCATGGCCCACTCAGAGTTCTGTTCAGAGGAATGGCAAGGGGGATGGGCATCAAATATGTATCCGACCTTTAAATATGCATTTAACCTGTGGGAGGACTTTTCAGGCCAAAGGCCAGTAGCCAGGGTGTGGCCCATTTGCTAACATAACTGACTCAGGTTTGTGGCTTCAGATGCTGAGGTTCAAGGAAACCACATCTAGGTGATGGGGACAGGGAGAAATGTCAGACACCTAAGCAACCTGGACTGGCTGTACCCAATGACAGCATGTGTGCACCCTGGAATCAGCTTCCCTGTATACTGAGTGGTTCCTCAGTGGCCAGGCTTTCCTGACTCAGCTGGGTCCTAGAGAAGGATCTGTGCCGGGTTCCTAACAGAGGGCCCCAGGCATCCTTTTTCTGCAACCTCCATCAGACCCAGCACTCCGAGCCTTGGCTAGGACGCACCTTGGGAGACACGACCTTGATGAGCTCATTCAGGAAGCGGAACTTGCCCACCTCATCATGGAAGCGCTTGCCACAGCTCTTCATGCATGTTTCCAGAACCTGGGAAGGGAAGCAGTGAGGGTCCCCCGATCTTGCCAGGGCCTACAGCACAAGGTGCAGAGGCTCAAAGGTCTCTGTGATTGCTCATCACTCCCTAGAGCACTGACCAGCCCTGTTCAAGCTGCATTAATGACCATAGGCTTCTCCATGGCTTGGTCCATGGCTTTTTACTATTTTTCTTTTCTTTTCTTTTTTTTTTTTTGTTTTTTGTTGTGTTTTTTTTTTTGAAACGGGGCTTCACTGTGAACCTTGTTTTCCTGGAACTTACTCTGTAGACCAGGCTGGCCTTGAATTCACAGAGATCCACCTGGCTCTGCCTCCTGAGTGCAGGGATTAAAGGTGTGTGCTGTCATCATCACCTGGCTTATTTTTCATCTTTTAAAAAACAATTTGGCACTACACTGGCCTTTCCTTCCCAACCATGAAATCACAAGACTCCTGTATACTTCAAGAAGAAACCCCAAACAAAAACTAACGTGTTGGAACATGTATAGTTACTTAGAGCAATTTTTGCCTGGCTCAGACAAAGGTGTCCTAAGGTAGCTGGTACATGGGCTGTGCAGGGAGTCGCAGACAGCGACCCATCTCTTTGGCTTCTGGTATAGCCATGAAACCTCAGTCTGGAGCCTCTCTCTTAATGAAGAAGATAGTGCTGCCTAGGGTCTGAAGATCCTGTGAGGCCTAGGTGGCCCTTGCAGAGAACCTGGGAGCTCTACAAACACAGATTCCAAACCATACATGCTGAGGGCCTTAACTCTGTTTAACATGTATCCTGGGGAGGCATCCATTAGGTAGCTGAAGTGGAGAAGCAATCCCTGCCACCAGAGAGGCCCAGCTGCGACAGGAGACTAGCCTTGGGGACCTTGAGGGCTGATCCTGACCTACATCCTGGATCACCTAGTCCCAATTCCCTAGGGATCCTGGAACCCCAGAATCTTTTCTTACCGTCAAGGCCTGGATGGCTTCCCACTCCTGCGGGGACTGGATCTTGTGGGCCAGCAAGCGGGTGGCAAGTGGAGGCCTGGATAGAAGGAACACAGTAATGACTGACATGGTACCTGACTCACTCACAGGGACAAGTCACTAGGTTAACTTGCAGCACTTCAGTCTTCTACTGGCCCTGTGAAGCACATACAAAAGCCCGTGACTCTCCAGATCAAACAGGACCTGGGATGGTGACAGGCAGTGCCAGGCACCCAGTGTAGACAGGGACTTTCAAGAAGTGTAAGCTTAGCCCCCTTGGCTTTAAGAACTATGTCACAGGCCTGGAAATGTTGCTTATTGATAGAGAACCTGCCTGGCGTGGTGAGTGAGACCCTGAGCTCAAATTCATCACCACCAAAAGCAACTGTGTAAGCACAGGTGACCACAGCCTGATGCTAAGGCCATGCATGCAAGGTGGCTCACAAGCACCTCTACTTCTTGCTTTCCTCAGTGGCAGGAAGATCCCTGGAATCCTAACATACGCAGCACTGCCAGTGCATGTTAGAGCTGAGGAGAGTGAGGCTCAGAGCAGTCAGTGACTTGCCCAAGACTAGTCAGAAGTGGGACTCATTTGCCCCATAGCTCATGAACCCCCACCAAGAGATGCTGGAGATAAGCACACGCTCTGGGAAGGAGGGTGGAGGAGAAGCACACTGTGATCCAGCAGCACCAAGAAGCCTGGGAAATGTCTGATCCAAGCCCTCAGAGAGTCAATTCTAGGGGTGGCCCACATGCATATTTCAGACAAGCATCCCAGGTAGTTCTGGTTCTTTTCTACATGAAGGTGACGTTGGGGAGGGTGTAGTCTAATCTCTGGGAGGCCCCCAATAAACCATCAGCCAAGGTTTAGATTTGACCAAGCTTAGGACTGCCAGTGACAAGCAAGAGCAAACAGCTAAGCCTCAGTTTCTTCTTTTAGAAAATGGGCCCAGGAAGGTTCCCTCAGGTGGTTGGCATATATGTAGCCTCCAGCAAAAAGAGCCACTGTCTTTGTTAACTGTGACTGCATTTAGAATAGAAACTGGGTCTCTAGCCTGCCCAAGACCAGGTTCTGGAGTGTGCATGACAGGAGCACAGTGTGTTTTGTTGAGTGTATTCACCAATTGGAGCCACCTACCCCTCAAAGTCTTCGTTGAGCTGCTCGCAGAACCCGTTGATGCTGGCCCAGTTCAGTTCCTTGTTCAGGGGATTTGTGGCTCTGTCTGCAGGAGCAGAGGAAGTCAGTATGGACTAGTGGGATTTCTGCCTCTTCTCACTTTTCCCAGCAACTGGCAAGGTCAGGAGGGATTGAGCACATGGGTGATAGACAGCCCCAAGCCTGAGCACCAACATTGAAGCAGAGTCAATGGCTGCTGCTCGCCTGGTCTTTCCACACAAGGCCTCCATCTTCAGAGCCTGTACTCAGGGATCATCTTCCATGATTGTACCCCACCATGCTCACTTTACTGCCTCTTTTCTGTTTTCAAGAACAGTATCCCTACTCTCCTGGAATCTGTACTCAGGAGGTTTAGGGATAAGAAAAAGGTCAAGGTCCCAGACCTTTAAGAACTGTAGGGCTGCGCAGTGGGCCAAGAAAATCTAGACTCCCAAGAAAAAGTAACTGGCCAAGAAACCATAGGAACCCAGAGCAGGAGACTCTGGTCAGCCTGGGGTCAGAGCAGCTGTCCAGAGGAGGTAACCATTCCAGCTAAGTCTGAAAGGAGTTAACCAGGCTGAGGGCTCATCTGCCTAGCTAAGGACATGAGCCTGGAAAAGACTGTACCCTGGACTTTGTCCCTGAGGAATGGAGGCTCAGAAACACCTCTTCTGATGGTCATCTCTGTCCTTTGCTTCCGCCCAGGGTGGTAGTGGCTATATCACTGACTATTCTTTACCGTGGGCTCAAGTGGACTATTATAGGATGCTACTGTACACGCATCACTAAACACACATATCTCCCCTCAATGAGAGAATGAATGATCATGTGGGATCAGTGGCAAGTAGGGTGAGGCTGCAGAAGTTGAACTGTGGGGTTGAGCAATAAATAGCAAAGAGGAGCGTGGTCAATCCCCTTCTTGAGCCCTCAATAATGGCTAAGTGAAGATCTAGTAATACAACCCAAAACCCCCATTTCCCTACTTGCAGAGCTGAATAAAACAAGGAATGGATGAGAAATACCTTGTGCATAGTGACACTGCAGTGTCTTCATGATTCCCAGACATTTCTGCCCATGCTGGGGGTACAGAGGGTCATAGCCCAAGATGTGGGGCTGTGAAAGACTGTAGGTAGGAGGAAGCTATAGCCCAGTATGTGGCACCTGCCCAGCTGGGGACCTATGCTATGCCTAGGGTAGACACCCTAGCACCTGGCAGCCATTCACTTGATCCATATTTATTTTATTTTATTTTTTAAATACAGTGGTGGCCAAAAGCCCTGCTGTCCTGAAGCTCACTGACCTAAACAAAGCAGCGCTGATTAGTGATCACACAAGGGCTATAAAGGCCAGAGTAGGCAGAAAGGGTGGAAAGTAATGGGGTAGGCTGTTCTCTCCTAGGTAACTCAGAGGCAATATGGCTGGGCAGAGGGCTGAAGTGGCATTATCTTGGTACAAATCTATTCCATAAGCTTTGTGATAACAGAAGTCACCAGTGAGCCCCCAGTGTCACCAGGAACATTCCTTGCTTTCTTGGGGAAGGCTGCACAGTTATTGTCTCCCAGTTCCCCACAATGGCCAAGGACTGAACACTGGAGACTCCAGCCTGGAGCCAGAGAGAATGTCTGGGGTACTGGCCTCTCAATGACAGCTGGGGAAAGGGCTAAAACAGGAAGTCCTTTCAAGTGACAAAGGCATGTGATCGACAGTGAAGGTGGGGCCACTCAATCCGGAGTCAGGAGCCAGGGAAGAAGAAACTCTGACTGCCCAGCAAACCGAGGATCTTACAGTTAGAGACAGCCTCCCTTCCCCACAACCTCCTGGGGGGGCATCTCCCCTGGTAGGTGTCAGGGGAGAGTACTTTGAGGAGGGAGAGAGGTGTGACTTCTGGTGGTGAAAATATCTATGGTCCTTCCTAGAAGCTACCCTTTACCTCTGACCTCTTGAGACCTGTGCAGTTGTGGCATCTCAAGTCTACGGCCAGTGAGTTTCTTCTTCCACTAACATCCCCTCCACCACTGCCAGGCTGACTCTAGTTTGGAATCAATCTCCCAGTTCAGCTCTGTTCAAGACTGCTGGCCATGACTTCCCACATCACCTGCATCCTTGGTGTACCTGAGGCCATGAGGTTCAGCTGAGGATAGCTCCATTCAGAAAGGCTTTGAGACGGACTAGAAGAGGCAGCCTGCAGCTACCAGGGGCATAGTCTAGCAATGGGTTTGGCAAAGCCAGGGATCTTTAGCAGGGTGGGACAGGGAGAGCAGAGGGAGGGAGGGCCTGGGGGGGCTTGGAAGCCAGAGTTGTAGGAAGCTGTTTCTGAGGAGACAGGAAACAAGGGCAGAGGCCTTGGGAGGAAGCTCAGGAAGGGCTAGGAAAGCAATCTGGGATGTAGAGTGAACCTGGGCTGGGTGTAGTGACTGAGAACTTGGATTTCTTTAGGGAGTCTAAGACCAGTCCCTTCCAAGCTTTGCCTGAGCTGGATTAGATGGATCCAGGAATCCGCTCCTTCCTAAACCCGGGGAAAGAGCAGACCTGAGAAGAGCTGCGGGTACAGGGAGAAAACACCCAGGCCCTGAGCTAGTGGGGTCCCTCAAAGGGAAGACTCGAGGGGCTGCTCTTCAGTAGCGGCCAGGGCCTCCAGGGTTTGGGGTGCTCTCAGCAACCAGGCCATCGGGTAGGTGGGCGGCGTCCGCACACAGCCAGGCTGCGCAGCGGCTAGGGTCCGAGCGGCGGACTGGGGAGCCGCCCCTCCGGGTCGGGGGCGGGGCGTGAGGAGGGGGCGCGCGGACCCCGCCCCCGCCGGGAAAGGGGCCAACCTCGAGCCCCCGGTTCCGGTTCCGGTCCGGCCCGCGCCCCTCCCGGACACTCACTGATTCGCGCCTCAAGAGTCTCCGGCTCCATCGCGGGCTCCATCCGCCACGGGCCCCCGCCTCGGCACCGCCTCCGCCCCCCGCCGATCTCGCGGGAACTCCTTGGCACCGCCCTCAGCCGGTTAAAGGGGCCGCGTCCGCCCGGAGGAGTCGGGGACGGTGCGCTGTAGCGCTGGACACCATCGAGATGCAGGCGGGATCGCCTAGAGCGTCACCTCCTTGCCAACCCCTCCCCCTGGCGGCTGGCTATTTCGCCGGTGGGACTCGCCGGCGGCCTCGCAGCTCCGGGCGTTCAGGCGGGAAAGGAAGTGGAGAGCCTGGGAGTTGCGGGCGGCACCATAGAAACACCACGGGACGCTCTAACTCTGTCAGCGTCACGCAGATACCCGTGACTGCTTCCGGAACAACGCTCCTGAGCCATGTTTCTCAGGGGCTCTGAAGTCACTTCCGGAGCCCTCGGGGGTACTTCCGCTTAAGTGGGAAAGTGGCACTGTCCCTTAAAAGGGCGAGTGGGCACTGTGGCCGCCTCGAAAATGACGAGATTAAGCCAACGTTTGTTTAGCACTTAATGCTCCAGAAATGAGTCTAATCATTCTTTTTCCTTTGAGACACGATTACACTTGCAACTCGCTCTGTAGACCAGGACTGCACGGAACTCATGAGATCCCTCTGCCTCCGCTTCCCAAATGCTGAGATTAAAGGGGTGCGTCACTACGCCCAGCAAGAGGCTAAGTATTTTTCCCCCATGAATCCATTTCTCAAACCCAGGAACCAGGTAATGAGTCTGCCTGCGGTCACCCAAGGGCCACCCAAGAGCGCTTGCACCAGGTACTTCTTCTGCAATCAGCTTGCAAACCCGTCAAGAGCTCATTCATTGCATTTGGGTTATTCTGTGACCAGCAGTGACGAGGAAGAAAGGCTAGGTACATAGCCCACAAGGTGATGAGGAGCTGGGCGTGTTTTCACACGTCAGTAACTGGCCAGCATTTGTCAATTCAAGGCCGATGTGGAATATGTTATCTCAAAGCACACAACACAAGCAAGGGAAGCCCTAAAGGTGGTAACAAAATGAGAAGGTCTCTTTCCCCAAACTGGTAGTGACGAAGCCAGGCTCTTGTTTTGGGTAGTTCAGGTGACAACAATGCGAGATACTCGATTCTTCCACTCGGAGGGTCGCCTTGGATAGGACTCAGGAGTGCCCTGGCGGGCTGCCTGGGAAGTGGCTGTGGTACGCTCTCCAGTGAGCCTGCGCCAAGAAAAGTTAAAGAGCTTGTGAGACCAAGGGACCGGCGAATCCAGTTCCACGAGGAATCTAGATTCACCTTGCAGAACCACAGTGACCTTATTTCAGTCGGGTTTTCTCCTGAAGCCAACGATCACTGCTGCAACACATAAGAGACAGGAGGGTATATGTGTATTTACAGTCCCTCAACAATAGCCCGCACGAGATGGGCATGGCCCTCTTTGTTTCCTGTATTATTAAGATTGCTAATGAAATAAAACACAAACTGTGTTTTCCAAACTGATTGAGAGTCAGATTCCTACCCACAAGCACTTTTGGGGGGCTACCTGAGGCAGGGTCTCATGTAGCCTAGGCTGGCCTTGAACTTCTCTGGTCCCCCTTTCCCCACCTCAGAGTGTACCACCATACCTGCAAGGGATTAGAGCTTTTGCCAGCTAAGCAAATACTCCACCAATTGAGCAACATCTCTAGTCACCCCAGTCTCCATTTCTCTTTAGACAGTCTTTTTTGTTTGGTTTTGGTTTTGGTTTTCGAGACAGGGTTTCTCTGTAGCTTTGGAGCCTGCCCTGGAACTCACTCTGAGACTAAGCTGGTCTTCAGTTCACAGAGATCCGCCTACCTCTGCCTCTCCAGTGCTGGGATCAAAGGCATGCACCACCTGGTCTTTTTTTTTTTTTTTTTTTTCTTTTAAGATTTATTTATTTTAGTGCATTGGTGTTTTGCCTGCATGTATGTCAGTGTGAGTGTGTGTCAGGTCCCTTGGAACTGGAGTTACAGACAGTTGTGAGCTGCCATGTGGGAGCTGGGAATTGAACCCAGGTTCCCTAGAAGAGCAGCCAGTGCTCTTAACCACTGAACCTTCTGTCCAGCCCCCAGACAAAGTCTTTATAGCTCAGGCTGGTAATTTATATGGGTGCTGAGGATTGAACCTAACATTTCATACACATGTAAAGCAGACATTTTCCCAGCTGAGCTCTACCCCTCAGCTCCCCCGGTGTGTATTTCTTTGCATGCTTATGGTTTGTGTCTGCCCCCATCTAGAACTGTCTAGGAAACTTCATCCCTGAGTAGCTGCATCTGGTGAATCCTGGTCTACAGAATGAGTTCCAGAATAACCAAAGCTACATAGAGAGATGCCGTCTCAAACAAAACAAATCTTTTAAATAAAATCATTGCATGTTTATTTACATGTGTGTGTATACAGCACGGTAAACATGTGGAGGACAGAGAACAACTTTCAGGAGTGGATCCTCTGATGGATCCCAGACTCAGGTAATCAGCTTGGTGACTAGAGTCTTTATTCACAGAGCCATCCTGCTGGCTCCACACCGGGCTTTAAGTGGCACTGGCTACATTCTAAGGACTTTGTGCATGCTAGACTAGACAAGTACATCCCCAGACTGGCATTTAATTATTCCAGTGAAAGACAGCAGCAAGTGCAGGGCTTGACCCACCCCGGCTCTTCCCTTCCCCAAAGCACGGAGGCCATTGCAGAGCACCTGCCTTCACCTCCCTCGCTTGCCAGATCTAGACACTAGCACTTTGTTTCCCTGCCACCTTGCAGGACAAGGATTCCAAGGACAGCAGGAAATGCTTGGAGAAGCTCCAAGGAAGGACTTCCTTGTTTCTCTGTCACAGTCACAGCTGTTGGGGGTTAGGGGGATGGAACAGTTGTCCCAGATGTAGAGAATCTTAGAGATGGCAGAAATCTTTGGCCTCATCTAATTATCCAGAGCTTTTGGGTCTTTTTTAAAAAACAGATATCCAGGATGAACCATTTGTTTATGAGACAAGGTGAAGCTTAAGTGTTTTACAGAGTTTGAAGTTTATAAACAATTTAGGGACATTGTAAAAAAAAATTGAGAGCTGGACAGTGGTGGCACATACCTCTAATCCCAGCACACAAACCTTTAATCCTAGCACTCAGGAGGCAGAGGCTAGCCTGGTCTACAGAGGGAGTTCCAGGACAGCCAAGGCTACACAGATAAACCCTGTCTTCAAGAAAAGAAGAAATTGAGGCCAGTCGGGTCTACATAATAGAGTTCCAGGTCAGCCAGGACTCCACTGGGAGTCCCTCTCTTGTCCCCACCCCTCATTCCCAGAAAGATGCCTCCAAACTCATTCTGGGAGCAGAGGCAGGTGGATCTCCGAGTCCCAGGTCAGTCAGGGCTACACAGTGGGTCATGTCTCTAAATAAACAATAAAAGAAAGAAAATAGGGCTAGAGAGACGGCTCATCAGTCAAGAGTGCCTACTGCTCTCCCAGAGGACCTCAGTCTGACTTTCACCACCTGTGTCAGGTAGCCCACAGTCACCTGTAGCTGCAGCTCTGGGGGAATCTGTCACCCACACTCATTGTGGCTTACACACACACACCCATGTTAAAAATAGGCCAAGGAGTAGTGACCCCAGCTTTTAATCCCAGCATTCAGGAGGTAGAGATAGGAGGATGTCTGTGAGTTCCAAGCCGGTCTACAGAGAGAGTTCCAGGGCAGCCAGGGCTACACAGAGAAATCTTGTCTCAATAGTAATAATAACAGCAAATTTTAAACAAATAGTTGTGAGTGCAAACATATACCAATTTTGAACGAGAAACAAATTCCTATAAATTTGAACTTTGGAGTTGGACATGGTGGTCTCAGCACTTGGAGGCTGAGACAGGATCACTGTGGGTTTGAGGGTAGTCTGAGCTACATAGTGATTTCTAGGACAGCTTGAGCTACAGAGTAAAGTTTTACCTCAAATCAGCAAACAAGACAAGAAAATGGAACCCAAGCTCAAACCCAGCCTAATCTATAAATGTGTGTGGGATTTTGTTGCTGTTTCTTTGGGTTTTTTGTTGTTTTGTTTTGTTTTGTTTTTGAGATAAGAGCTATGTAGCTAGTCTCCAATTCTCCAACTGTGGTCCTTCTACTTTAGTCTCTGGAATTCTGGGGTTACAGGCTTTGCAGCCTAGTTTACTATAATCAGAAGAAGTCTATTATAATCAGAACAAGATCTTTTTTCTCTATCTCCCTGCCATGCTACTAATTCTTTTGTGCATTTTTTTGTGTGGCATACTTGCCACCAGCAAGGATTTAATTGTATTTCCCACAAAGAGAAATATCTATCAACCTTTGTGGATCAGAAGTGTTTTGGGTTTGTGATGTAGCTGTGAGAGCACCTGATGCAAAGTCTGACAGCCTGAGTGTCATGACCAGGTCCCATATGGTGCAAGGAGAACACTGACTTCTTGATTTGTCCTCTGATCTCCATGTGTGATGCTGCAACACCACACCCTATCATAAAAATGAATAAATTATAAATGGCCATTCCAGAATTGCTATATTCCTTCCCTCTGTCCCATGGAGCACTGAAGCTGACAATCTCTGCAGGGGTGAAATCTGGGTTACATGGGAACCCTGTCTGTCTACTTCCTATAGCACTGCTAGGCCCTGCTCCCAGCAGAGGCTGCAATGAATGAAACCAAACAACTGGTCCAAATCTTGTTCGCACCCTTGACTTTCTCCTCAATCTCTTAAATCTGAACCTATAATCCTCTTAGGCCTAGGAACCACATACAGCCTTGGTGAGGGGTGGAGCAAACTGTACACTCTTCAGATCAATGAAGCTCAGAAATTCAGCCCATTTTGATCTGGCATAGACCTCTCTCCCCCAGTGTGGGTCATGTGTTTTTCTAATTTACACAGAAGTGCTGGTGGCCTAGCATGAGTCATGCCTAGATCTGAGTGTCAGTCTGTTCATTTGTAGAATGGAGAGAGTAACACTTCAGAAAATGTGAACAGCCAGGCCTGATGGCACAGGTCTGTCACTCTACCTACTCACGACATCCTCCATGGACTAGAGTGGGTTCAAGGCCCTCCTAGTGACTTATTGAAATCTTGTCTCTAAATAAAAACATGGAAAAAATGCTGGGGGTATAACTTAGTGGTAGGGCCCTTACCTAGCAAGTGTGAGGCCCTAGGTTTGATCTCTAGTGTTGGTGGATGGTCTTGCCAGAAATCATTGTTCAAAGTGCTGAGTTCAAGGATCACCAGGAAACTTCACTTACAAAAGATGGGGATTAGAAACATCATAAATGGGCTGGCAAGCTGACACAGCAGGTGAAGGTGTTTGCTGCCAAGCCCAGGGGCCTGAGTTTGATCTCTAGAAACCATACAATTGAAAAAGAGAACAGACTCCTGAAAGT